CTCCAGCCCTGGCCTCTGGGGCACCGTAAACAAGTGACCACAGAGGAACATTCACACAGATGCACAAAAGGAATTACCAATGTAAAGGCAGGGCTGGAGAGATGGCCCAGGGGTTAAGAGCACTGGCTGGTCTTCCAGGGGTCCTGAGTTCAATTCCCAGCACCCACATGGTGGCTCACAACCATCTGTAACTCCAGTCCCAGGAGATTCAACACCCTCTTCTGCCCTCCTTGGATGAAACACACACACACACACACACACACACACACACACACAGAGAGAGAGAGAGAGAGAGAGAGAGAGAGAGAGAGAGAGAGAGAGAGAGAGAGCAACTATAGAACTACCATACCATATCTGGCAGATACGACCTTAGCCACACCTGGCATGTGACCACGACTGGCATATGTGACCTTAGCCATGTCAATACCAAAGCACTTCTGAAACCTGCCAGAGTTCAGAACTTGAAACCCTGTGAAGAAGCCCTAGACATACAAAACTGAGGGACATTCTACAAACTACCATGCTGTACTCTTCCCGGAAAGCTGAGGGACATCCTGCAAATTACCATGCTGTATTCTTCCCAGTGCCAATGTTATGAGCCAGGTGTAGTGACTCATGTCCATAACCTCAGGACTCAGGAGGCTGAAGTATGAAGCTAGCTTGGGCTACAATTTGAATTGCAGGCTAGCCTAGCCTACACACTAAGGCCCGCCCCACCTGACCGAAATACAAATAGGAGCTGGGGTAATAGCTCAGTTGGCAGAGCACTTGCCTGGCTCTGACCCTGACCCTCAGCACTGCACAGAATGGGTATAGTGACACACAGAATGGGTATAGTGACACACATACCTATAATCAGCACTCGAGGGAAGCGGAGGCAGTATCAGACTCAGAAGCAAAGCCTAAATAAATGGACAAGCCGGATGGTGGTGGTGCACGCCTTTAATCCCAGCACTCGGGAGGCAGAGGCAGGCAGATCTCTGTGAGTTTGAGGCCAGCCTGGTCTACAAGAGCTAGTTCCAAAGCCGCCACAGAGAAACCCTGTCTCAACCCCCCCAAAAAATAATAATAATAAAAATAAGTAAATAAAATAAATGGCTGGGCTAGCACTCAATGTCCAAGCCTGATTATTCAATCCTTTGAACCCATAAAGGTGGGAGGACGGAGCTGAGGTCTTGGGACCTCCCCACACTGGTGCCAGGGCACATGCACCCCCTAAACAACAGTAATAAGTAAAGATGAGATTTAAAGTCAGAGTTATAAAGAGGACTGGTGGGGAAATGGAAGATTTGCAGGGGGATAAAAAGACATGAAAAACGGGCGACATGTAACTCAGAATTCCCCCTAGAGGACATGGTTAGACCACAGACAAAAATTTAAGTCCACCAGTCAGGTGACAGTGTCATCCTGCGAGTTATGTGGACCTTTGCAGGAAAGCCACAGACATAAGAATACATACATGAGGTGGCATCGTGTCAATTCAAGAAAAATAATGGGGACCTGGAGAGATGACTCAGCAGTTAAGAGCACTGGCGCTCTTCCAGAGGACCCGGGTTCAATTCCCAGCAACCACCTGGTGGCTCACGACCATTCGTAGTGAGATCTGGTGCCCTGCAGGTACACACGCAGGCAAAACACTACATAAAAAAATAAATAAGTCTCTTTTTTCAAAAAGAAAAGCAATGGGAGAAGATAAAATGCTAACAATTGCAAAGTATAAATAAGTTTTCTTAAAGTTATTGTCAATCCAGCCAGGTAGGATCATAAACTCTGGGTCAGGATTAATGACTACGACTGGGCCATCTGTCTTCTGTGAGTGGTGGGTGACTGCCCTGTCCATCTGGTTGGACTACTGGTGATCTATGATCTAATCATGGGGTAGCACTTTGTAAAGGCTTCAGGAGCCAGATGAAGTCTCAGCTGTCCTCCTCCAACGGGGAGAAAGGTCACTGGGAATGGGACCGTGTTGAGTACTAACAGGAAGACTTTGGGTCCACATGGTTGTTTTCCTGGGACCATGTGTGTACACAGGATGTCTATAGGTGGTTTTAGAGTTGGGATTTCTCAGGTCTGGGGAGGTAGCACTGACTTCAATCCCCAGCACTTCTAGAAAACAAGCCAAAAATATTTCCTTTTCATGTCACTTTCTATTATACCATTAGAAACATGACTTAGAGCCGGGCGGTGGTGGTGCACGCCTTTAATCCCAGCACTCGGGAGGCAGAGGCAGGCGGATCTCTGTGAGTTCCAGATCAGCCTGGTCTACAACAGTTAGTTCCAGGACAGCCTCCAAAGCCACAGAGAAACCCTGTCTTGAAAAACCACAAAAATAAATAAAAAAGAAAGAAAGAAAAAAGAAACATGACTAGAGCATCGGCCACCAGCATTTAACAGCTCTATGGCATTTTGGACAGGAAGGAGAGGAAGTCCCTTAACTTACTGCTTCCCCTATCGTTGGACATTGAAGTTAGCTCTAACTTTTACTATGGCAACAGCGCCTCAGGAAGTCCTGAGTACACACAGCTTTGTGTGAGCTCTGCATTTTCTCCTTAGAGCAGGCTCCAGTCAATAGGATTACTGGATCGCAGGCAGGAACCAAGTACTTCCTTCCTACAAGGATTATTCTCCCGTTTACAAAGCCAATAACGTTTTCTTCTAATTTAATGTGAAAATGCCACTCCATTATTCCATCAATTCCCAGTGACCTCCTGGTGTGCTGGGGGGTGGGGGAGGATGGACGAGACACACACACACACACACACACACACACACACACACACACACACACACACGTGGGCGGGCGGGCAGACAGACAGACGGACAGGACAGGGTTCCATGCAGCCCAGGCTGGCAGGCTGACCTGGAGTTTAAGCAGAGCCAAAGCAGATTTTGAACCCTGATTCTCCTGCCTCTACCTCCCCTGGGACTACAGGGATGTGACATCAACCCCGCAGATCCTAAGAACTCTTTTCGGGGATAGTCACCATTTGCACTGTTGACACCAAAAAATCCTTTCCAGGCTGTAAGGCTTGGAGAAGAGGCCTGACTTTTAACAGTGGGAAAGTGGATCACCAGTGGGTGTGGTAGCACACACCTTTAATCTCCGCACCCACTGGAAGAGGAGGCTCCAGGTCAGCCAGGGCTACCTAGGGAGGCCTTGACTGATAGCTAACTAAACAAACACACAGTAGGTAGCCAGGCAGTCTGTGTCCAGGGAGGAGATTTCTCACATGATGGCAGCAATAACCTAATACACCATGGCTATAGCGTGGAGAGACCTTAGCAACCATCCTGGGAGGATCTGGGTCATAAAAGAACCTGTTGGGTAGGTTCTAGCAAGTCTATTGAACACAGCCGTCCCTAGGAGGACTCCCCCAAGCATCACAGAACCTTCCTAGAGGGTCCCTGATGAGAACTGAGCAGAGCATTCCCTACTCTGGTTGGCTAGAAGATCTTCTGTAGGGGTTACACAGAAGGTTCTGTTCCTTTGCTTAAACATAGGCTGTACTGGTCAGTTTCTAAAGGAGGGCGGCCAAGAGGAGCTTTTCAGTGCCAGTGACCACCTGTGTTCAGACTCCAACCCTGCCACGGGAGGCTTCTGGGCTGACATAGCTGGTGTCTGGTGAATGTTCCGGGAGAGAGAAGCTGCAGTCCCCTTCCAGTAGGTCCCTGCCTCTGAGAATGACATGGTACAAAGGTTTTGCCTGACCAGCTGAGAAGCGGGCTCTTTCACTTCTTTGGGACTAACTGGTCATCTTCCAACAGATACAAGAGCAGGAGGTCAAGTGACTCTTCTCAGCTTGTCTCAGCGTGTGACAACCAGGTGACCCGTCTCTATCCAAGTGCTGACTCCCCTCTCAGCCCTTGGAAAGCAACCAAGATTTGGAGAAGACCTATACTTAGGGCAGACTCTGGGGCCTTGAGCTCAGGGCAAGGAGACAAGGAAACAGCCTTAGCTTCCCGCCCGGGGGACATGGGCGAGGCCCGCCTCTGGGTATAGCTTTCACCCTGACAAGCTTGAACTCTGGTCAGTGCAGGGCAGGCTAGAGCAGGCCAGAGCCTCGGTTTTCCGCACTCTCAGACACTCCAGGTGGCTGACAGCTCTGATCCTGACCAACCCTTCGCCACTGACCTCAGTTTTGAAGACCCTGAATTCTAGGCAGCCAAGACCTCCTGGAAGGGGTTGGAGAGAAGGCGTGGTGGTTATAAAAGCACTTGTTGCTCTTGTAGAAGACCTCGGTTCAATTCCCAGCACCCACATGATGACTCACAACCACCTGAATCTCCAGTTGGGGCAGGGGGGCGGGAGTGAGGGGAGTGTCTGATGCCCTCTTCTGACCCTCGAGGGCACATGTATACATACATACATGTTATGCAATACATAGTGCAGTCACTAAAATTAATAAATCTTAAAAAAAAACCTAAAAATGTTGGTGACTGGGGGCCCAAAGTCTATAAGCGGCACGAAAAACTTAAAAAGCATACCTTCGGGTATTTTATAGTTGAGACACTGTAGTCTGGGAGTGGCTGGGTGCACCACGCCCACTGTGGTACAGAACTGGAAGTTGTGGACCCTTCAGCCAGGATCGCCACCTAACTAACTCATCTCCCAGCCTTCTCTCCATAGGCAGCAGGGACTGCCGGGTCACAGCGAAATAGGAGGCAAAAGGCACAGTGTCGTTCTGCCCAGTTCCTTTCTAAATGGCAGGGCTCACCCCTGTGGGCAAGCTCTGTACCCACCCCCACCTTGCCTGAAGGTTCCAGCTGGGGCAGATAGTGACCACCTTCTTCGGAGATGCTCAGACAGGTTGGATCCAATCTCGTGGGCTAGCCAGGCATCCTTCCAAGGTCCCGGGATGCCTGGGGGCATGACTGCCAGTGGGACATGCCACCTTGCCACCTAGATGGAGGACGCACGAGTGCCACAGAGCAGCAGGCAAGGCCAGGGACCAGTTAGCCTGGGTCTGGGGCCTGGAGGCAAAGCAGCGTCTCCTACTCACCTGATGAGGTGAAAAGCCCAGAGTAGGTGTTCTGTGCTGGGCCCGCGGGCAGCTCGGACGATGCTGAGGTACAGGTAGAGGGCGATGGCCACGGTCCAGAAGAAGGAGCTGGTGTTGGCGAAGGTGGAGAGCGCGCCCTGAAGCACGCAGTCCCACGAAGAGCCCGCAAAGTCCTGCAGCACCCCATAGAAGTACGAGGCAGCCGAGAGCAGGTCCGCTAGCGACAGGAAGAGTAGCAGGCGGCGCGCCCGGCTACGCAGGTCAGGCCACAGGGCGTGCGTGGCCACCAGGAGGCCCGAGCCCAGCGCTGACAGCACGCACGACAGCAGCACCACGGCGCGCTCCCACGGCAGCAGCTCGGTGGGAGGCGCGGGGGAGGGCATGGCCGGCTGGGGGCCAAGGGCTGGCGGCCAGGGTGCACAGGTCTAAGGGTGCCGAGAGGTCGAGCTGAGCCCGCGGTCGCCTCTGTCTGGGCATCTAGGCGCCCAGGGCTCGCGTCCCCACGGGTCCCGCCTGCGTCCCAGCCCCGCCCAGTAATCTACCGACTATCCAGCCGCCAGTGTCATCCCAACGCCTTCCACGCCCTGCCCCTGAGCTCCCTAATCCCCGCCCCTGAGCTCTCTAATCCCCGCCCCTGAGCTCCCTAATCCCCGCCCCTGCACCCTCCAGGTCCCACCCCGGCTCCCTAATCCACGCCCCTGAGCTCCCTAACCCCCGCCCCTGAGCTCCCTAATCCCCGCCCCTGCACCCTCCAGGTCCCACCCCTGGCTCCCTAATCCCCGCCCCTGAGCTCTCCATTCCCCGAGTCAGCCTCTCTGCTCTGCGCCTGTCTCAACATTGGCTGTCCACACCCAGCCCCGGTAGCTTCAGCACCCAGCCCTGGGTCTCCTTCCCAGAATCAGTCCCTACACCTTGCTCCTAAATTCTCCACTTCCCACACCCCAAGTTCCATTGCCCAGCTCCTGCGTCCTGACCTTACCTCCCCGCCCCGCCCCGCCCCGCCCCGCCCCGCCCCGGAGCACTCCACGCTCCGCCCCTGCGCGCTAACACCGCTCTCTGGGCTCCAGCGCTCCGCTTCTGAGCTCCCTACGTCCCGCCCCGTGGCTCCAGGGCACCGCCCAGCCTCTTCCAAGCTCCTCCCGTGACCCCCACTCGCGCACTGCTCCACCCGGATGCTGGTTCAGCACCGCGCTCACATGCTCACCCACGCCTCTGCGTCCCTGCACCTCTCTCCTCCCCAGTAGCTCCCGTCCCGGTCCCAGTCGTTGACTTAAGCCTCCCAGAGCTACTCTAGAAGACTAGCAAACGGCTAGGACATCCCGTCCTGGCCGGGAGGGGAGAATGACATTTTTAGGGCTAATGTTACTTTCCTCGGAGTCAGTCTGCTTACGTGTGTTGGGACAGGGAGAGGCGGTTGTTGGAGACATTCTTTCCGATGGTGTAAAAACAGGTCCAGAGCTTGATCCACATTCCTGAAGCCTGGGTCCGTGAAGTGTCCCCAAGGTCTGCCTGAGGTGACGATTTGGAGACGTTTGTAACTTTTGTTACAATGAAGGTGTTGTTTTTGTGGAGCTGGGAGTGGAACTCAGGGCCTCACACATCCCAACGAAGTGTCCATCTACTGAACTGTATACTTTTAGTTCCTAGTTATTCTATAGAGCTTATTAGGTGCTATTTATAAATACGTTTTATTATTTTACGTGCATGGATATTTTGTCTGCATGGAGACCAGCTTGATCTACAGAGCGAGTTCCAGAACAGCCTCCAAAGCTACAGAGAAACCCAGTCTCAAAAAACAAACAAAACAAAACAAAGAAACATTGACCCTTTCAGCCCTATAAGTCACTGGTTCTTAGTACATTTGCAAGTTTGTGCAACCGTGGTTAATTTTCTGATTCTACAGCATTTGCTCACCCTCAAGCACTTGGCGGGAAAGACTGATCAGCAATTAAGAGCAACTTGCTGCTCCTGCCGAGGGCTTGGGTTCAGGACCCAGCACACACGTGGGCTCACAGGGGCCCGTAGCTCCAGTTCCTGGGGATTGGCAGCACTGCACACACACGCGGTGCACACGCACACATGCGGGCACACTCTCACACACACACAGATTGCACGTAAATGAAGCCTGTTCCTTTCTGAGGAGAGACAGAAAGGGAGAGGATCTGGACGGGAGGGGTGGGGGAAGCAGACCTGGGAGACGCAGAGGGAGGGGAAAGTGAAATCGGAAAGGAAATCTATTTGCAGTAAAAAAAAATTACAGAAAATATTTGGAAAGCCAAGAAATAATCCTATGTTGATATTCAAAAACGCTAAATGGCCACTTAAAACTTTTCATGAAATTATGCAACTGTTAAATTTTCATAATGTGTCTATGGATTTGACTACTGTGGATATTTCCCACGAATGGGATTGTATAGCGCGTAGTGGAAACGCTACATGGACTATGTTTTCAGTTCTCTTGGCCTGTGCCTGGGCATGGACTTGCTGGGTCACGAGGTAAAGAGCTCTGCTTGCCTTTGTGAGGAACGCGTGGCCCTGTCTGCGTGGTCTTCCTCAATAGTCAGGCAGGGAGGACACTTTTGATTTCTCCCTATATATATAATATATATATAGGACTGGGTCTTATGTCGCTCTAACTGGCTTTAAAGATGACCTGACCTTGAGTGTCTCGTCCTTCGCCCAGGTGCTAAGATTACAGATTTGCATCATGGAACCCTTTCTTTTCAATTTAAAAAAATTTTTTATTATTAATTTATCTATTTACTTAGCTAGTGTGCTGGCTAATTTTATGTCAAGTTCACACAGGCTTGAGTCATCTGACAGAAGGGAACTCCAATCAGAAAATGCCTCCCCAAGACTGAGCTGTAGGCAAGCCTGTAGTGCATTTTCTTAATTAGTGATTGATGGGGGGGGGCGGGTCCAGTCCACTGTGGGCGGTGCCATCCCGGGGTGGATGGTCCTGGGTTCTATAAGAAAGAGGCCGAGAGAGCCAAGGGAGGCAAGCAAGCCTTGTTCCTCCGCGGCCTCTGCATCAGCGCCCGCCTCCAGGTTCCTGCCCCGTCTGAGTTCCTGTCCTGACTTCCCTCGGTGATGACCTGTTACCTGGTAATGTAAACGGAATAAACCCTTTCCTTCCCAAGTTGCTTTGGTCACGGCGTTTCTCTACAGCAATAGTAACCCTAGCTAGGACAGAAATGAGTACCGGGATGGCGGGATATTGCTGCAACGGGCCTGACCGCGTTGTTTTGGGGAGAATTCCGGAAGGACTTCGGGCTAGAAAAACCATTGAGCACTGAGAGCTCAGTGAGCTGTGCCGTGGGAACCTGGGAGACAAGAATGTAGAGAACCGTGTAGGTGATGGAGGCCTGTGATGTCTCAGAGGGAAGCAAAGATGCCAACGGGCCCTTTGTGTGATCTGTGGTGTCTGGTTCAGCTGGGCCTGAGGACTCAGCCGTGATTAACAAGAGGCCGGAACCACTAAGGTAAAACACTTTCTTATTTACTTCTTAAAGGCAAGCTTAGCTCTCTACCTTATTTGATTTAGTGTTTGTGATATTATTTTACCTGGCTGGGACAGTTGACACTGGTTGGCTGGAGCTGAGAAACTAGTGGTGATTAAAAAGGTAAAATCTTCTGGAAGGTGTTCCTCAGGGTCAGCATGCAGAAACTGTTCTAGGTGTGGCCTAGGTTGTTTCTTGAGCTGGCAACCAAACTTGGTAGTGTCCTGTCACCCAGGTGGTACTGGTTTTTGAAGGCGTGAGGGCTCACGGAGAGCAGCAGAGATTTGGCACTGTGAGAGGCCAGGAGAGGCCAATGGTGCAGCCTCGGTAGCAGTTGAAGGCCTGGGATTGAAAGGGTCATGCCGAGAAGTTGGTGGTAGGCGCGGTGAAGAGAGCCCAGGAGAGGCTTGTGGTAGTTTGAATGTAATTGGTCCTCATGGTCCCATAAGGAGTGCCATTACTAGGAGGTGTGGTTTTGTTGGAGTCAGTATGGCCTTGTTGGAGGATGTCACTGTAGGGGTGGACTTTGAGGTTTCCTATGCTCAGGATACCACCCAGAGTGACAACTTCCTGTGGCCTGCACATCAAGATGTAGCCAGCACCACGTCTTCCTGCACACAACGACGCTCCCCACTTATGATGATATTGCACTGAACCTCTGAAACTGTAAACGAGCCACCTCAATTAAATGTTTTCCTTGTAAGGTGCCGTGGTCCTGGTGTCTCTTCACAGCAATAGAAACCCTAATTAAGACAAATGACATGCATGCAGTTGATTTGGGACACTTGGGTTGTTTCCAAAGTTTAGTTACTTAGAAAATGAGCAAATATTCTTCTATAATGAAAAAAATTACTAAAGCAATTTTTGTAGTGTCAGCAAACCTATTTATGGAGCTTGCTCGAAGAGCCCAAGAGCAGCTGCTGTCTTTCCCAGTCACTTTGAGTTGTCCAAAAGTCCCCTAACCCCCCCCCCTGAAGGTTCCTTGCCACACATTAACCCTGGCTAAGAATTGCCATTGAATCCTCTTAGGTTTCTGTTTTGTTTTTCTTTTTGTTTTCTGATGTGAATAGTTTTGTGACCAGTGTTCTGCCTTGGCACTAGTTAGGGCAGGGGCCTGGAATGTTCCCTGTGTTCAGATCGTGGCCATTTAATCCTTAGGGCATGTTGGGGTAGCGGGTGGTCGTGGTGGTGGAGGGAGACAGGGAAGATCTGAGAGCCTAAGATATCTGTGGATCAAGGTTGCTTGTGTTTTCTGTTTGCTTGTTTGAGACGGTCTCTTGCATAGCCCAGGCTGGCCTTGAACTCCCAACACCAGACCGCAGGTATTCCCAATGCTGGCTGCCCCTTTCCTGTGTTACAGGGGTGCAAGCGCCTCAAGCAATACCTTGAGGGAGCAGCTCTTTGGATCGGGAGGTTGCTTGGTTGTCTTGGGAAACAGCAGGCCAACAACTCTCTTCGTAGGGAAAATTGCTGAGATGTGCCTCGGTGTGGCTTTAATCTGCTGAGATTTGAGCTTGAAGCCAGATCTCCCCCTTTCAGGCTCACCGATGCTTAGTCAACCGAGGATCCTGGTTCCCAGCTTGCTGGGTGATGCTAAGCCATGAGTGAGGCCTCCACCCAACAGCCAGGAACTAAGGCCCAGGGCTTCTGAGGCTCTGCCTCTCTGCAGGCCCCGTGGTTCCAGAATAGCATGGTAGGAGAAGCCACAGGCTCGAGGCTACTTCCGCAGTTCTCAGCGATCTGGCTCTCCGTCCCTGTGTTGGGGACTCAGTGTGTCAGGCCCCACCCTCTTCTTGCCATGGAGGCACTCAGAGGACTTGACCCTGAGGTGCTTCTCTGTGGCTGTCCTGAGCCCGCAGACAGCTGTCGATTGCTCTACGTCCAGCGTGCCCGTGGCCCATGTCATGCCGCCCCGTCACCAGCTTGAGAGCTGCAGGTGCAGACCCAGAGGAGCCCTGTCGCTCAGGCTAGCTGCCCCGAAGGAGGCCAGCTTGCTTCCATTCCCACTTTCTTACAAATGTCATCCCCAGAAGAGACTCAACAGTCTCGGCCTCCAATGCAGCAGG